CCACGGCCCCGCCCTGCCTGGGAGGGGTCGTGAGAGGCCAGTCCCCGAGCGCCCTGGCACTGCACGTTGCCCCGGTGGGCCTCCCAGACCCAAGCCTGGGGCCGAGCCCCCGGGAGACAAGCGAGGGGCCTGGGGAAACTCCTCCTCCCAGGGGCACAGCAGGCCTGGCCAGAGCTCACCGTGGTGGAAATAGGACAGCTCCCGGGCTCCGCAGAAGCCGAGGGGCCTCCGGAGCCGCTGCGCCATGCCCTCCTGGCTGGGCGGTAGACCCAGAGACAGCAAAGGACAGCCCAGTCACACGCCAGGACCGGAGCCAGATGGACCCTCCCCCAGACCTGTGCGCTCACCCTGGGCAGAGTCAGTTCTCACTTTCTAGACGCTCTTGCTTGCCCCTCCCCCCAGGTCCCTCCTGCTTCTCAAACTTGTTTCCGTCTTGGGTGCCAGAACTTGGGAATCATTGAGTTTTCCCCACCAGCTCCCGCCCTTCTGCCGCTGGAATCATCCCCAGTTCCCTTTCCAAACCTTTGATCACTTGGTGGCTTGTGGTTCAGTGTGGCACCCTGCAGAGGACAGTGCATTCTAACCATTAGAGTGGGCAGAACTGGGAATGGTACCGGCGTTTTTTCATTCTCAGGCCAACTACCATCTCCTGTTGGTTCTAAGCGTTTTTATCCTGAAAGCCTGATGGGGGTGAGGGTGGGAGTGGGGGTAGGGGGTGGGATTGGCATCGGATAGGATTAACTGATACACATTTTTAAAAGACCAATTCAAATGTATACATCTTGGTATCTACTGGCAGATGGTCTGTAGGTGGTTATATTTTACTGCATTTACTGTAGGCTTAGATTTGGGTTGTAAGTGAAGAGGGGTGGTCTGACCCCGTGGTGGATGGCGGGCACCCTTAGAAAGCAGGAATCTTGCTTTAGCTTCTTCCATCCAATTTTCCTTCTTTCTGCTTGATTTGGTGATGAATCTTAAGGAATGGACACCTGCCCTTCTGGCAACCTCTTGGAAACAGCAGTGTTTGCTTCCTGACTCCTAGCAGGCCTCTGGGGTGCAGCTATTGTGTTTAAGTAAACAGGCCACTTGCCTATTCAGCTGGCAACTTGATGGATGTCTACGCCTGGATCTTGTCAAATCACTTTGTGGTTGAGCAGCTGCCAGGCCTAGAGGTGGTGAAATGAGCTAAGCCAGGATAATGATGGCTGCTGCAGGAGCCTTCCCGGATGAGGGCGGCGGGCAGAGTTCGGGACCCGAGGTGTGAATACAGAGGCACAGTTGGCCCGGATTCCCAAACACCTGTTTCCCCCACCATCCCATCCCGGTGATGGATAGTGGGGGGAGCTGGTGTTCCCTCCATGTAACAGATGGTCCCTGTACTCGGGAGGAGGCAGTGGGTTATGAAAGCAGGTTGGATATAACGGTTTTACCTGAAGGAGGTGTTAGTCTCTAAATAACCATGAGTGGGTTTAAAGGAATTAGTCATAATTGAGGTTTTTCTCTGAGATAGCTCGCAGTCATGTTATCTTATGACCAGGGTGTCTTGAATATGACACCCCCTGAACATGGATAATTATATAGTACCAAAAGGTATAGAAAGTGCATGCACATACTCAAGTTTTCTGTTAAAAATAATCCCGCAGAGAGCCTGTGAGAACACATGACTCTCCTCATCAAAGTTGTTAAGGAAGAGGTTTCTAAGTTACCAAACTCACTGACAGTTAAACCTTCCCGAGGCATGTGTGGGTGTTGGAAGCCAAGCCTGTGATAATTCTGCAGAAGCTGTGGCAAATTAATAGCCATTCCACAAGCGGGGAGGGTGGGCAGAGAAGGGTGTGGGCTTGCCTGTCGAGCTTATCTTTGGCAGAACAGTTGGACAATTGTGACCTGCTCATGCCATCCTGAGTGAAAGTGCAGAGCTGCTAATTACCAGAGAAAGACTTGAGAGCTTCACTAAAGGGGGGAAACACAGTCTTCACAGTTGATCAGAAAATAGATGAAATTAACAAGGGGATGGGCAGGATGTTTTGATGCCGAGACTTCGCTGGGGAGAAGATTCCTGAGCTCCTGAGCTACAAGCAGCCAGACTGAGTGTGAAAGACGAGGGAGAGATGGAAGATGGGAGTGGAGAGAGGCTCAGGCTGTGAGTGGAGAGGAGCCTTGAAAGTAGGAAAGAGGGAGTGACTTGGTCCAAGACTCTAAGCTGAGCAGGACATCAGGAACATATAGGGATATTGTGTTTTGTGTGTGGTGGTTTTAGTGGAGAGGAAGAAACGTTCCCTAAAATTAGACTACAGTGGTAACATGCACAGAATAGTGAGACTTGATTGCAAAGCCCCTTGGGGGGGTGGTTTAAGGATCGTGTGAGGAAGTGATTTTCAGTTAAGTAAAAGTGCAGAATTAAAGGGAAGTGATTGCCTCAGGAATTCTTTTGCATTTTTGAGGCAACTGCATAGACAATAGCTCATTGAAATCAACCTGCCCCTCTCCCGGCATTTCTGTACAGTAGAAATGGGCAGGCATAAGTCTAGGATTCACCCAACTGATTAGTGTTGACTAGCACAGGACCACCCAGGACACCCAGGGAAGAGCTCCACAGCAACAGGTAAGGCTTTTGGACATAGAACAATAGAAAGCACTAAATGGACAAACAGACAACCTAAAGCCAAAAACAAAAAACAAAAAACCTTAACATACAATTAAACCTCTACCATGTACCAAGCCTGGCACCAAGCCTGCCTCATCTACGTTATTTCATGTTACTATCCTCATGTGACAGACAAAAAGACAGATGTTCAGAGGTATTTAAGCAAAATACCCAAGGTCACATGGCTATATTTAATAGGTGAGGAATGTTACGTCCTTTTAAAGGTAGAGTGGTTCCTGATCACACTGCTAGCTAGTGGCAGAGACTGAAATTGAACCCAGGTCTTGTGACACCCAATCCTGTGTCCTTTGCATCCAAAATGCTGCCTCTTGAGGACTGTGAAGCACTGGGAAGCCACCAGGTCTTTAGAAGGCTGGGAGAGGCCTGGTCAGCTCGGAGCAGAGAGAGCAGGAGTCACAGTGGTGGTCAGGATACCGAGGAAGGCAGGGAGCCTGTGAGATGTTGGCAGTGCTTTGGAAATTGGGAGGAGGCGGCAGCGGTGGTAATGGTGTTAGTGAAGGGGCCATCAGGATGGCAGTGAAAGAGGAAGTGTCATGGTTTGTCAATTCCTGGTCTCCCAGAAAAATGCTCATGCCTCCCAGCACTCTTCAGTTCATCACTTCTGGCAGATTTCACCAGCACTCACGTGCATTCATGGTGAAAGATCCAAATACAGAGGCCCTCAGGGTGTCTGTGAGGTAGCTGGGAAGTCAGAAATATGAACGGCTGACAGAAACAGAATGTGCTGTGCTGGGGGAGCGCCAAGTCTGGTCCTCAAGACACAGCTTGTTTGAGTGCAGAGGACACAGGACCAGGTGTTGTGAGACCCGGGTTCTGTTTCGGGCTCTGCCACCAGCTGGCTGTGTGGCCATTGGGCAGTCCCTCTGCCTTTCTGGCATCTATAGAATTAGCATGTGCCCAGCCTCCCCTTTAGAGTCAGTCTAGGACTGGGCTCCATGACAAATTTTGGCCCACGGGCCAAATCCAGCCCACCTGTTTTTATGTGGCTCCTGAGCTAAGGATAGCTTTTGTATGTTTAAATCATTGAAAAGGAATCAAAACAATAATATTTTGTGACACCGTGAATGTTATATGAAATTCAAATCTCAGAAGCCATAAATGAACTTTTGCCGAAACATTGCAGTTTTTCCAGTTTTTACCAGAACCCCCCAAAAGAGAAAGAATTAGTCTCCCACTTTAGTCACTCTGGTGCAATACGCTATTTTATTCAAAGCAGTGTTTACTCTTTGAAAAGATGCTTACTTGTGGGTTTAACCCATCTTCCCTTACTATAATAATTTAGGTTGCAAGGACTTTGATTCGCTGATTTCTTCCAAGTTCCCAAAATGAATGAATGTATGAATGAATACATAAATTGCAGTTGATGCCCCTCTCCAGAAATCCAGAGAGAAGGTCCCCCAGACTGTGACCTGTTGTGCTTATTCTGGGCTCTTGGGAGTGAGTGGCTTGGATTTAAGAGTCCCAGGAAATCTAACCCACAGCCTCCTTTGCTTTGTCCTGCTTCCTTAGGGGTCTTGAGAAGCAATGGCCACAGAAGTCCCTGTGAATATAGCACCCCCTGAACGCAGCACTGTTGTTAGCACAGCAGCTGACAGCCTCCTCTGGCAGCCAAACTCACTAAATATGCATGTCATCAGGCCCAAGTCCGCCAAGGGTCGGACACGGCCACTTCTGCACAGATCCCAGGGCACAGAGCCCTGCTCTCACCACACACTGTCTTCTCCGCCCCCAGCCATTCCCTGCGAGTCTCCAAGCAGCCAAAAAGCGGGAGCCTGTGCACCCAAGTCTCCAAATCAGGGAGCTTCTGACGAGATCCCTGAGCTGCTACAGCAGGTGCCCATTGGAGCTACCTCTTCTCTTAATAAATATCCAGTCCTTCCTTCCATCAACAGAAGGAACTTGGAGGAGGGTGCTGTGGAGACAGTGTCTGAAAAGGCCAGCTCGTTGCAACTGAGCAGCATCCGGGCTCTTTACCAAGAGGAGACCTACGCTATGAAGACAGGTGAAGAAGATTCCAGAGCTCAAGCTTGTGCCCTGGAGAGGAAATTCATCGCCCGAACCAAGAGACAGAACCCTTCCAGGGCTGGAAACCTGGAGGAACCATCAGACCAAGAGCCAAGGCTGCTGCTTGCTGTCAGATCACCATCAGGCCAAAGGTTTGTACGCCACTTCCGGCCAACTGATGACTTGCAGACTGTTGTTGCTGTGGCTGAACAGAAGAACAAAACCTCCTACCAACGCTGCAGCATTGAAACAATGGAGGTGCCCAGGAGACGTTTCTCTGACCTCACCAAATCTCTCCAAGAGTGCAGAATCCCGCACAAGTCAGTGCTGGGCATCTCACAGGAAGACAGGGAGGGGTGCCCCTGAGTCCACAACCACCCAGCTGGGGTCCTGGGTTTCTGAGCAAGGACCCTGCTGGGTGCTGTGGCCTCCTGGGCAGCGTGTTCCAAGTGCCATGTGGGCCGGGTGCAGCTGGGCTCCTTGGGGCTCTTGTCTCCACAGCATGTCCTCAGGCAGTGACACCTGCACTTGTGCTGAGTAGGCTAAGCAGACTCCCTTCCCACTGTTAATTCTCTCCACCATCGGTGTGAACTGGCAAGTTACTAAAGCTGTTCCTGAAACAGCTGTGACCAGGGCTTTTCCTTTCCAGAGTTCCAGGTCTTTCTAAATAACAGTCCTTTCTGGAGCTCCTGCTTGCCTTTACAATGAACTCTGATCTTCTCAAAGTCAGTGATTTGCCTTTCCATATTTGATGCAGGATTAAACACTTCCCAGAGAAGATTCTAGTCCAGCAAATAACCAGGGTGTAGGAAATACCTACTAGCATTTGTATTTCTCTGTTTTTAAGGAACAGGCAGTTGGCCCTGTCTTTGAAAGCAGCCCCTTTGCTGGGTGTGGGCGGTCAGAGTTTCTTGGGGATTACTATTCGTGTGAGGTGATATCAAAGAGAAGAATGGGTCTTCCTCTCCCAAGTACATCAGCATATTGACTACAGTCCTAGAGCTGGAAAGTTATTTGCTCCCATGAGCATGGGTTAGCTAATAGCTACTTTGTAATAGATACTGACTAGGTTTACAACTTTTGTTAGCTACTCTGTGTGTGCAGAATTCTGAAACTGAAACAAACCAGCATAACCTGATTTCCTTTGCTTTTGTCAATAATGGCATCTTTTGCTTTAAAAATGTATAGACCCAAAAGTCTGTACAGGTTTGTACCAACAGCCCCTTTGGCTTATCTGGGCATGGATCAATTGTTTTATTCCCCAGTTTCATTTTCTCGCCCACTTCAAACATGGAGGGTCCTTTGGAGCCATGACAGCAGGGCCCAGTTCTCTGATTTAGAATCCTCTGGAAGAGGAGGAGGATGCCTTGGTTTGGTATTACTCTGCTGTGTCTATGCTGAGAGACTGTGTGCCCAGGCATCTGGCTGATTGGCATGAAGTGCATCTGCCTGCCTTAGCCTGAGCTGCTCTGAAGACCATGGAGTCTTGTTTTCCCAACTCTGAAGTGGTGACGCGGACAATTTGCCAAAGTTCTCTTGCATTGCAAGTTTAGCCAGACTCCCACAACTCATCTGAATCCCCTTTTATGGCCAAATCATCCTTCAGAGTAGGGAACACTCAGACTTTCTGGGAACCTTGTCCCTCCAGAGCGCAACCATCACAAAGCCCTGTGTATTGCTGTGTGTGTGCCCCCACCTCCTAAGTATACAGAAAAGGCAAGAATCAGAAGCATATAAATGTTGCTGCCTCAGCAACAAGTGTATCTTGTGCACAGATAAGGCATGTGGTTGGAAATATTACTTCTAGCACATGGATACTTAGCGATGGAGATTAGCACCATTGCTGCTTGCTCAGAAAAAGGCTTGCCTTGTCCTAACTGCATCCCACACCACCCAGATCACTCTAGAACAGGTTATTTCTGAATGTTTTATGGAATTTTTAAATGTCATCCTGATTTGGTCAGCCGCTCCTTCCAGAAAGGTCAGCTGGGGCTGGCAGTGCCTTGGGAAGGCCCACACATCTGGCCACCTCTCCCAGTTACTGACCACAGCAGAAGGAACTTGAGCCTGGCACCTACAGTACAGGAATTTCACCTCCCACCAGGACTCGAGCACATAACTCTGCCTCTGATCTAGGAGGCTGGGGGAAGAGCCTCCATAAAATCACACCTACTCTGTGGTAAGAATAAAATCCCACCCACCTGGGACTTGGTAATTTTTCCAAACGGGAAAGCTTTAGAACACTTGAGTGAACTGGAGCCTGCGTGAAGGAGTTAGAATCTTCTGTACTGAGGGGTTTGCTGCTGCTATTTAGCTCAGAATTTGGGGGTGGGGAAAATGGAAGGCATGAAGCATAGAAATATTTTAGGGTATTTTAGGATATGTGAATAAAGCTAGACTCAAACCATCATAATAAGCTTTTTTTTGGACAAAAGATGATGATACTAACAATAAAAACCGAGTGTGTGAAACTGAGTCAGTGGAGAAGTTCATCTTCTTTTGTAGCCTGAGAGCTGGCTGTCACAGCTGCTGGACAGAGGGGTGTGCTGACCCAATCTTCCATGTCCTCCCCCCGGGCAGCACGTGTTCTATGATTAGAATCAAGTCCACTCCAGAAGCTGCAGAAGCTCCGTCCCTCCTGCCTCCAGCTTCTGCCATAGCATTTAGCTTGTCTGTATGGGAAGAGTCTCCTAGATTTTTCATAAAAATCACTTCAAGTACTGTGATTGTCAGGGTTGGCAAGAACTCACTAAGTGAGAATTCAGAGTTCTTGGTGGTGCTGCATGTGGCATTGCCCATGGGGCACCCTGGCCTAAATAGGCTCACCTGGCTCAACACTACTCCTGGTGGCCCTGGGTGGGTGAGCCTTGGCCATTTTGTGGTCACAGACCTCAGCCATTTATTTAGCCAGTGGTCATTGAGGGCCTCCCCAGTGCAACCTTTAATGACAGACATGCACCCTGGCAAGAGAGTATGGACAAGAAAATACAGACCCACCACTGGACTCTCAACTCAAACCCTGCTGAAGTCAGTAGCTACAGCTTTGTCCATGGAGGTCCCCAGAGAAAGAATCCCACTCTGTCACCATGGGGTCTTCTCCCTACCTTCTGAAGTACAAAGAAAGTGCTTCCCCACTTTTTCTAGTGATGGCGCTAGGAAGACTGCTCATTAGGGAAATGAACTTTGTATAGGACAAAGCTTTATTGACAGGCTCTTCCAGTATATTCCCTGATCAAGTCCAATAGGTAAATTAGTCTTGGCAGCAGAAGGAACAGCAGGAGAAATAGGTGACTCACCATCTAGAATCCAAAAAATTTGCACCAACAGATGGCAGGTGGCTATAACACCACAGTGCTTGCCCTGAAAGCACCCGGGGAACCAGCCAACAGCCATCAAGCCAAGGAAGTCCTGCTGAAGAGGTGGCTTATGGACAGGACCGGGGGCCTGCAGTCACCCCAAGCGCCCATACAAAATGCTTCACAGACTAGGAGCAGCCTTGAGGCTCTCCACTCCGATGAATAACCTTAGAGACTAGGACGGATTGTCCCCATTACAAAAGCAGACATTCGGGGAACTACACTTTGTTTGTGTTCATGTTCCTACCTGCCATTTTAAATGGGTTTTTTTCATGTCAAATAAAGCCACCCTGTCCCATGGAACAAAGAAGTTTCTCTTTACACGGTATTTTTAAAAAATTAAAGTCCTCATAATGCATTGAGATAAAAGAGCACTCTTCCTATTGTTTGGGGCATATTTTAGACGAGCCTTTTATATGGTAAGAGGATCTACTTTTCTACATTTTACACAGAATCCCAAAGAAAACTGAAGGATTTTGCTTCCGTATTAGTTTAGAAGTCATTCTGAGAATGAAGCAGGAGCCTCTGTTTTCTCAGTCCAAGGCAACACACCGCAATAAAGTTAAAAGTTCATGAGCCTGTTTACTCTTACCCCAAAACCAAAACCAACAAAACCCCACCACATAAGCAGAGAAGGTGAGGGGCCCCTGTGGAGAAGTTAGCAACCAAGGGAGAGCAGACTTTCTGTGACTTAGTTACCAAAACACAAGACAGCAACTCAGATTGTAAAAATAAACTCGAGTGTTTTATTTTTCGTCTACACTGATGACGTGCCATTTTCTGTTCCTGATTAGGGAAGTTTCTACCAGCCCTTTTTGACATTCATCTGTGTTCCTTTACGTTGGAACAGTTTAGAAAGCAGCAGCCCCCCTAATAGTCGATGTGGAAGAATAAATCTCTGGAGGCATTTTTGGACACACTTAAGCCCTGTCTCAAGAGGCTAAACAACTGGTGTGACAAATACCAATGGGCAAAATCAAGTATGTTTCAGCCATTCAGGCTGTCTTGCTCAGAGCACACTCTGGCTGCTGTGTTGACATTAGACTGGGGAGGCAAGGTGGAAGATGAAAGACCAATTGCTGGAGGTATGACAGTGACCAGGCAAGAGGGGCCAGGGTGATAGCCGGAGATGTCATAAAAAGTGGTCTGATTTTGTGCACACGATCTGTTTCCTTAAGGGAAAAAATAGGAAGATAGTTTGACAAGTTGGGATTTACCTAAGTGGACTCAGCTTAACCGATATCACCAATATGGGCTGATTTTGCAAAAACAGACAAGCCAATAGATACAACAGCAACACAGCACATGGCTGGTGGGGAAAAGACACTGACCAGAAGCAACATTCACATGAAGGAGATGCATGGATGTTTTTGGACAAAGTGTACAGAGAATATCAAAGCTATTCCTTGCGTTCATTGAGAAGAAATAAAAATTAAAAAGTCACTTAACATTGAGGTATTAGTGAAAGCTCATTACCATCTGACTCTAGGGATACGATCTGATTACTGACCGAGGTTACTTAGTAAGAAATTCTTGTTCTGGTTAAATGGCACCTTGTTAACCTAGACCCCCCCCCGCCCCCTTACTTGGTACCCTTATTCTATGTATTCAAGTCCAGCAGCTGATTTGGGGTGCATTTCTCCTTGAGAAGGCAAACAAAACCATTGTCCAACGGTCTAATTAATAAAGCTCCTGGTCTTCATAACTTTCACACCTACCTATTGCTTATAGTGAGGAGAATGTGCAGTAGGGCCTTGTTCCTTTTTGCGACCGCCAAGAACGGTAACTCTCTGACATCTATCCTTTCTGACGGGAGACATAGGCATCATGGGACCACTCTGGTTGGTGAGCACAACAGCCTGGGTCTGCTAGCTCTGCCCATGTTAACAAGAATGACCAGCCACCTGCAGATAAACCCTGGGAGAACAGCAGTAACTCCCATGCTCCCACCTGGGAAGTATGGTCTAGAAGCTGTCTGCTGCCCCCACCCCACCCCTACATTCAACCCTGGGATACCGCAGATGTCAACTCAGACCAGACTTAAGTGGACTGTGTCCTGGAGATCGGGACTCTTTGCCACTCTGTAAAGGGCCTTCCCAACCCAGGCCCAGGTCCCATCTCGCTCTTTTCCTTCTTTTTGGGGGGGGGTGTAGTCTCATTCTGTTACCCAGGCTGGAGTGCAATGGCATACTCACAGCCACCCCAGTGTCGACTTGCTGTACTCAGGTGATCCTTCCGCCTCAGCTTTCCAAGTAACTGGAACTACAGGCATGCACCACCGTGCTCACTAATTTTTTGATTTATTGTAGAGATGAGGTCTTGCCAAGTTGCCCAGGCTGGTCTCGAACCCATGGGCTCAGGCAGTCCTCTTACCTGGGCCTCCCAAAGTGCTGGGATTACAGGCTTGAGCCACCG